TGTGACAATTCAGGTGCTCGACAATTGACTTCAAACCCAGTGTTTCACTATGAGATCCAAACATACTGAGGTAAAAGTACATTTTATATGAGAATAAGTTTCAAATAAGAATACCGAAGGTATACCCCACTAAATAACATCTTGCTAATATCCTTAAWAAACTTCTAGTAATCACTAGGTTCAAGTTCTTCTCAAAGACAAGTGTTAGTTAACACGATACTGCTTTAGGAGTCCTTCCATCTCATCGGTTTGTTACCAAATATTCCTCCTTAATGGTGTTGTCAAATACCCGTCCCTTGTGCTACACGAATGTCCAATGATCTTCATTATACATTCCCTTGTGCTACATCTTGTCTTCCAATCACTATAACAAAATTAGGTTTATAGGACACTAAAAATGTCTAAATCACAATAGACTACTTTATAAGACTTAACTTAATAGAACCAAATAATAAAACACCACCTCTTGGTTCCTACATAGTGATGGTACTTTTGTGACGTTGACTCTTCGTTCCTTGATAATTTCTTCCTAAAATMATCTATTTTGGATAAATCTACCGTATGGAACAAACTGGATCCAAGAAAAGTGAATATCTTCGTTTGGAGGGTGCTTCGAAATAGGTTATCCGTCTTCATGAACTCAACAACAACGATATTAATTTCAACTCTAAGGATTCTTTTGAGACTTTGGACCATTGCCTAYGCGGTTGCWAGGTTGCTTCAAGTACSTGGAAAAATGTTTTTAGATGGTGGAATATTGATTTCAATCTCCTCCATCAACCTCCGATTTGTTTTTTTATGATGGTGGGAGTGGATCGTGATTTATTCTCTCTGGAATTATAGGAATGCTCGGATCTTGAAAGAGGTCGATGCTCGTGGTGTGATATTTTTGGCGATGTTAAATCTCARCCTTTTGCTTGGATCTCAACAAGATAAAAGAATCAGTCAATTTCGCGAATGACATGGCTTAATTCTCCTTTGAATGTGGTCCCATAATCCTTTCTTGGCCTTGTCTCTTTTTGRTCGACGTTGTCTTTGTTTACAGTTGTTTCGATGTGTTTTTTTTTTCTCTTCCGGTAATCCTCTTCTCATAGATTTCCTTCTTGTTGTGTACACTTTTTTATTTTTATTAGTGCTATTGCCTTTCGAAAAAAGTTTATAGGACAATATTTGTATGTTTTAACAAATTTTACAAAATATTTTCAAAAGAAAATGTCATATTAGYTATTTTATAGGATATWATAAAAAATGYRTTTATAGGATACTTTTYAAAAGTATCATATAAATTAACTAATACCACACTTTAYTTTATAAATGTTCTATTAAAACCTTTAAATCATCCTATAAATTAATTTATTGTAACACTTGTAGATATCAAGTTTTATTGTTCGGTCTTATAAAAAACATTTTATTAGGACACATACACATTTTTAATGTCCTATAAACATAACTTTATTGTAATGTGTATAAATAAATGTACCCCTTTATATTGTAATTCATTAAAGTGCGTAACATACGTACAATGACGTTCATTTCTACTCTTCTATCTCAAACGTTCAATCCCCAATCCCAAATGCTAATTAAACACTTTCGAGATCTAACATAACTTGCCTACAAGTGAYGAGTGTTTGTAAGATCCTTGTGCATTCAAAAATTCGCATCCGCATGGATGAAACTTTTGACACATGTGAGGGGTTCCGATGAGAAGGAGAGTCAAAGTGAGAAGCGTAAGAAGAGATCTCCATCCTTGAATACACATTAGAATAAGATGCACCGAGATGCACCCATCAATGAGTGAGTTTGAGATTAAAGGTAATCAACGGTCTAGATCTTTTTCTTACGTTTCTTACATTAAGTCTCATTCTCACACGATCTTTCGTCTACGTGTCAAAATATCAAGTGAAGCATCCATGTAAATAAGTTATCATAAACCATTGATGTATAAAGGGCAATGAGACGTATCATCACAATCATACTTAAATATCCGAGCTCCGTATCTTCGAAGTTCATAAAATTTATAAACTTTATATCTTTCAAACGCACCAAGAAACAAACACATTATGTAGAATGCATGTATATATTGTATATAAAATATAAAAGCTACTTAAGTTTCATCAACCTCATAATTATTATGCGCAGAAGAGTATCAGTGCGAAAAAAACACACACACATATATATATATATATATATATATATATATATATATATAACATATATAAAAGGTTACTATCCATGTATGGCGATCAATCTGCAAAAACAAATCAAAAGACGTCGAAATGAGTTTCGAAATTGTAACTTAATAAATCTTCATATCAAAACATTTATAGCAACATGATAAAATATTTAAAAGAACTGAAAAACTAAAGGGCCGTTTACCAAACACTTACTCGGTAAGTGCTTATCAAGTTATATTACCTTATTAATGAATATGGGAAGAACCAATAATCTTACCAGTAAAAGCGAAGATAAGGACCTGAGTTTTACCCGGTAAGCGAGGACGCCAATTCTTATCACGGCTAGCGCTTTTTATTCAATAAGTAAGTGATGGTATTGAATTTTGCCAATAAGTTCTTACCCGGATAAGCGTTAGGTGAATGACCCCTAAGTGATAAAATCCTAAGGAATATAATTAAGACGATGGTATGTGACGGTATCTTTTGTTATGGTTACACTACACGTTTCGATATTGCTACAAGTTTCAACACCGTTCACCCTCAAAAATTGATGCAGTGACAAATCGGGGTTCGTTGCAAACAACCAAATGAAGCTTATGTAGAAAAAATGTGAGAATTATTTAGGGTACATATTATATGGTGTATTTATTGCAAGTCACGAAAAACCTTCTTCACCAAGTTTCTTTTATACTCAAAACTGTACCTAATAACCTTCGTCCACCCTTTCTTTCTTAATGATCACCGTTAAATATTCCACAATTATGACGTGATAGTTAGTTCGACATGAATAGAAGTGAGAATTGCTAGCTTCTTATAAGTCTCAAGTAGTGAGTTACCAATAACTTCCACCATGGTTTTAAGTTGGAATCATAATTGTTGGGCCAGTCCATTGCTTTGGACTTTGGGGGTGTTACATACGACAATGATTATAAAAAGTTGTAAATAAAACGACCATTTGATTCACATTTAATTAATACATGACATTTTATAAAGAACACAAATAAAAACTTGCTTTCCTTAAATTTCATGTAATCTCCATATCTCATCAATCACATGAATATATGTTGTTATCTAGCTCGAGGAAAAGGATGTCATGTACCCACGTTAAACCCTTATCATACCATACACAATAAACCAAATTAAATTCAAAAACTGCTTATTACTGGTTTGACACCGGTATAAGTTGTTTATCCAAACACTCAAAAGTGCTTATCACCGATGCCACATCAAAATAAGTCAATAAATTATTTTTATAAGCAATCCCAAACACCCCTAAATTCAAATCAAAGGGATATATCGCAATCATAAGCATTGTGAACATGCACGACAAAGTTTCCACCCTATATCTTGTAAATTCCTTATCTAAATCGAGTTGTAAACTAATTTATTTGTAAGCTTCCAACATAAACTACATGGAGGGAGAATTATTTTGTATAGATGTTCATTGATTTTATAAAGTTTAAATAATAATATCTAGGTGTGTTCGTTTTACCGCACACTGCACGCAACATACCTTACRCACCGTGCCAGGGGACCAAGTAGGGCATAGCTAGCGGCATAGGAGCCGACTCGACGGCATTGCTCCGTCAGGCTTTCGCCCATTACGAAAAATTCCCCACTGTTGTCCGCGTACCATATCAAAATGTGTGATTTAAAGTGCTCATGTAATATAAATTGTAATTTTGGTAATTTTAATAGCTATTACAGTGATCTCTAATGTAATTACCAATAATAGATTCACGTTTTTTTTCCTAATATGACAGAGTTTTGTATAAAAAAATTGTAAATATAACTTTTAAATAAGAAATTATTTTTTTTATAATTTTTAATGTCTCAACATGCTTTCTTATAGTGTCAAATTAAAAAGCTTATAAGAATATATGAATATTTATTAAATGTTTGGTTATAAAAAAAGCTATAAATTATAGTTCACCATTTAAACATTATTTCTAAAATATTTTGTTTATTAAATTATTAACTTAATATAAATACTTTAACAAATATTTATAAATTAAAATATATGGCATAATAAACTACAAACTTAATATTATTACAAATAATGCTATTAAAAAAGAATTAATAACACAATACAAATAAAATTATATTATTGTTTATTTAAATGTTTATAAAGCTGATTTTCATTCCAATTTCTTTATGCTCCCGTCATTGTTACACAACGCATTTTATAAATTAATTTTTGATTTTTCACATTTATTTTTAATTTTTTCTTGTTCCAAAAATGATGTATGAAATGGATTTTAATTTAACATATCTATTTGTATTTTATTTTAATATTTAAATTTAATATTGTGTTTCAATTTTCATTAATAAATATAATACGATAAAAACTACTAAACATTACAAACTACTTTAAAAAAATTATATGATGCTTCTTTAACATGAATAATAAAAAATATTTATGTATTATTTTATTAAATATCATAATTTTTTAACAAAAATAAAAAATTATTAATTAATTAAATTTAATCTATAATAATAGTTTAATTGTTTACGTTAATTAATATGACACTAACTGTTATAATAAATAATATTTAATTATTATTTGATTTAAATATAGTTTTTTATCTTAATATAACACTTAAATATTATATTAAATAATTTAGTAGAATTTGCAGTTACTAGAATTGATGTGACACTGTAGTGGATGGTTGTACCGTTGTAGACTTGTAGGCTTGTTTTTTTAACCGGAAAATCAGTCATTTAAATTGATAKTTTTTAACCATTTTTCTTCGGATTTATCCGAATGTAACTATTTCCACAATATCCATCCGTAATATTACAGATTTGGTTACAGATAAAAAAAATTCAAATTGCACCGTCGCAATTGTGGATTTRGCTTTCGCAATTGCAGACATAGTTGTCTTTGTCTTTTTGCCGGATCCGTAATATTGCGGATGTAAATACTACAGACCTAATAACATTTAGGTAAACCCGGTAAAAAAATGACTAGAATTTCAAATTTGAATGGATAAAATAGCTATTTGAATCAATTTTCCTTTTTTTTTAATTAGCTCAACTCGGTTTTGTTATTTAAAAAATTCGATTAAAATTACTAATTTATTTAAGCTAAATTATGTCGTCAAGTGCCCAGTTCCACTTTGTAGCCTTTATCATAGTATATGGATTATTAAGCTTTATATTTTATGGTATGAAAGTTTATTATCAGTTTACTCAAATCACATTTACGTACAAACCCGTAAAAACCACACCACATTCTCCGGTGCGATATCTTGCTGTTTGGTTTGTGATTTGAAAAAGAAACGCTCAAACCATATATGTCGTTTTGTCTATAAACCGCACATAAACCATGAACATACAAGATTTGAACTCGTAACTTCGATGTTAGGAAAGTGTGTAATTAGAGGTTTCAGATCTTTAGACCGTAGTTTTGTTTTTCTTAGTAGTTAATTTCTAAATATCATAAATCTAGAAATTAATCTACATTTGACGGTACCAAATATAGGATGCAAAAATGAAGAACATGAAAGATTCAAAAGGCACGTACCGTAGATGTTATGGTGTGCACTAGTTGATTCTTGAAGGTTTGGTTGAGTGGGCTGGAGGTGATACTGGTACGAATGCAGTTGAAGCTCAGGGAGATTCACAGCAAGTTGTAGAACACTATTCGGCTGATCTTCTGACCCATAGAATGGAAATTGTTCAAATAATTGATGTTCTTGCCCAACAAGCTTCAACTCAGTCATGGCTGCTGCTTGTTGCTGGTTTATCTCTTCTTGTTGTTTGCCCATCAACTGTTTCAAAATTAAACTAAGTAATGATCGAAATATGCTAATCTGTAGACCTTTTAACACTCACCCAGTGATACATCTCTTCGTTTTCCTTCTCCAACACTTTTTCCTGCATCAAAATTAACAAAATAAATGGCTTCAAAATTGTTATATATATATATATATAGAGAGAGAGAGGGGAGGTTCAAGGAAAAACCTAAAAAAAATGAAAAACTAAAGAAGAACACTCTGCCGTATGCACATGTGCATATAAGTAATTAAAGCTGTTTTTTTTTAATGCACGTGTGCATATGGATGTTATGCACCTATGCATATCTTGCACCGGACAAACTTCATGTGGATACGATCCAGATGAATGGTAATCTCAGTTTTTCATTTTTTTTTGAGGTTTTTCCTTAAACATGACCCTATATKTGTGTGTGAAAACCCTTGATTAACTTGATGTGTAGCGATGAAGATTACCGTTCGTTGAAGATTGTCCACCTGCTGTTGCAAGAGTTGAAACTGCATGCAAAATTTCAAATTTGTATGTTATCTACTTACCCTTAAACACAAAAAGTAAACCCATATCCAAAATGCCACAGAAATTAAAATAATAAACGACAGATTTTCAAGAGTCAATGAATTTATCATATGTGAATAATCTGAAGATATATATAGTAGATGTACATAATCATCTGTGAACCATTTGAGACTTTTATGATTGAAATGATCAATTTGTGCAGCATTTGTTAACTAAATGTAGTCTGGAACGATTGATAATAATGATCATGTTCTTTAAAACCTGAAATTAGGTCACAGCTTGCCTGCAATACCTTTCTAGCTCGGACCTTTTGAACAGAGAATTCTAACTGTTGCTCGAGTTGATTAAGCTCCTCAAGCTGTGCAGAGCTGAGGTCATCGCCTTTGTAGCGCTGGAGACTCAGTTGAAGGTTTAATGTCTCCTTCTTCATCCTTGTCAACTCACTATGCATTTGTTCCTTCAATTTAATTACCATAAAACAAGATATCATTCAAGAAAAACTTAATTAAATCTTTAATTATCGGGTTTCCGGTTATTAAAAACTGAATTTAATCCAAGATTTTACCCGGTTATTGTGCTCGGGAATTCGAGAACCAGTTGCTTTCAAATATCTGTCGATGATTTGGGCCATGCTGTAGATATTTTCACAAGAAATTAAGATCAGATCTTCCAGTTAATGACAATTAGCATATTTGGATACATTCATTTGTATATCAGTTTATTTATACAAGATTTTGGACAAATCTAAGAGAAATTCAGGAAACCCTAGTATCTCAGTCAAGATGCAGCATAACACCATCAAGATTTTCTTTTCGAGTGTCGAGAAAGTAATCAGAAAGCCAAAACGGAGTTCCGGATAACCTGAGAGGGTGAGTTGTGTACTCAAAGAGTTTCCCTTTGCTAGAAAAGACGATGAGGCCAATCTGGGCATCACACAGCACAGACAGCTCATGGGTCTTCTTTAGAAGCCCCGTTCGCCTCTTCGAAAACGTCACTTGCCTGCTCGTATTGTTCTCGATTCTCTTCACCTCGATCTTCCCTCGTCCCATTATAACTCCTAAAACAAATTAAAGTTTAACTAAACATTAACCCCCAAAGATTAACCAAAAAAACCATACCTAGAAAACCATTGAACACAAGAAATGTATGTATAGATATATGGGTATGTATGTATGTATGTATTATCTTTTTTAGGAGTGATGATTTCTTGAAGAACCAGAAAGAGAGAGTGTGATCATATGGAGTATATCATATTTGGAAAGTTGGATAGCAGTGAAGAAAACCCTCAAATGACAAACATGAATGCATACCAATAAAGAAGTTGAGTGTTGTGGGAGGATGAAAGAGGAAAATGAGGAAGGTTTTTGAGATCTTGACAAGTTATATTTACCCACTACTTAATTCGTTGGCTTTCTGGGTTTAGACCAAGAAGAAGTATTTTTGTCTATTTAATTGTGGGAATTACTCAAATTACTCGCAAATTCATCCGGACACCCATGATTACAGTAACGAAAGGAAATATACCTGAAATACCAAAAAAAACATAATAATGTCGTGTAAAATTACATGTAATTATCTGCATCTACACACATCTGTGTTGCCAATGTTCTGTAAGTATAAATCAGTGCAAACTCATGGTGGATTTAATCATTTTCGTATTTTTTTTTTTGATCATTATCTCGTTTAATATCTGTATAAATGTTAATCTAACATTATGTTTATTTAAAAAATACGTGTAAAATTAAAATTGAATACCTATTTAATGAAAATGAGATATTAATTGAGAGAGAGATTTGTTGGGGGCAGGGTGCAGAAATTTGGCTTTCATATACATTTTTGGTATGTCCATTAATGCTTCTGCCATTCCTACCAGTCGTCCATCATACATTCTTCATCATTAAATTTGGACTTACATGTACATAGTGAGAGATAACAAAAGAGAAGGTTAAACGTGATATCTGATTGGTTTGAGCTTGACTCCAAAGATTAAAAGTACTTGGAGGTCTCATGTTCTAATCCAAGGATGAATAAAATCCCCTTGTAGCCACGGAGGTTCAAATCCCCAGGTTGACGTCTTAGGATTAGTCGGTTCGTATAACGAGTTGAATATCCAGGTTAATAAAAAAAAAGGTTTAAACAAGAACAATAAAAACTACGAGAATGCATATAAATCACAAGTAAATGACAAATCTCTGGTTTACTTAATTTGATCACACTAATGGATGATCCAAGGGTAAAAAGGGACTACAAAGAATCACTTTTTATAACCAGTTTTCTTGACGGACTAAAACCTGAAATGATTCATGACTCAAACGTGGATTGATTGAATCACTTCGACAATTACATGATTCCAAAGGGTTTGAACATCGTTCCGGTCAAAGCTTGAGCATTATTTATAGGAATTATCGATCTCAAACTTGATATTTTTTCCTTCAATACAACATAAACAAATTGTATCCGACTCGACCCATTAACACTCCATGTTTTTTAATTTAGAAAATATAAACCTAGCGAAGAAAAAATATCGATTCAATCGAACTAAACATGACCGGTTAATTAAAACGAGGTCGTTTCAAGTTTGAAAAGAATAGTTTGCTTATTTTAAACAACTGAACCGAACCAAACCAAGAATTAGTTTCTAATTAATAATCTTGAACCAATGGAACTAAATATAATTGATACCAGTCTTCTCTCTCCGCCAAGTTCTCAATAAAAAAGACATGCAATTTAAGTTTAAGGATATGTGTAATTATTAAACTTTTTAAATAAATAAATGATAATTTTATGCTTCATGATATATGTTTCTATATTTCACCATATCATAATTAAAAATAGAACTTGAATGTACACACTTGATTTCAAAATAAATACTTATTTAGAACAACATAGACATTTATATCAAARRGCYTTTGGCCTAGMGRTATTTGAGTCTTTGGCCTCCTACGAAGTCAAGGGTTTAAACCTTACCAAAGGTGAGGAGAGTGTGTAAATTTATTTGTTCTATTTATCGTATATAAAGATTTATTTGAACATGAGGTAATTAGGTTTAATTCCYATTAATTTCCTATTTGGATTATATGGTGTGAACCGAGTTTTGTATTTTGTAACAAGTTAAAAGAGAAAGAATGGGAGTGGTAAGTTGGTAAATGATTGCAATGTGTGAAGGAATTAAAGAAAAGGATAAAAATAGAAAGCATTGGTGGTGACGTATAACAACTAGTGGTTTTTAAGGTTACCAGAAATGGAAAGGATGAGGAGCCCAAAACACCACTCTTAAATGGCAACGACAATATGTAATCATCTCCCTGCCAATAAGTCTTCATAAGGCTGACTTATCCCTTCCTCAATTAATTGCATTTTTATTTTTCGAAAAATTACTTCTTTTCGTTTCAAAATAACTGTGTATGTTTCGTTACCTTCAAGGTACAAAAAACGTCTTAAACAGTTAAGTCGTTTACGAGACTCTAACTAGTTCTGTTCAAGCGTCGGTAGTACTACTTTCACAAGAACCTAATGCACATATCAACAAAAAATGTTAGGCTAAAACCTAGTGGCTTTAAGCAGTTTACATTTACAATATAAAATAGTAAAACTGAAAGAGTGTTATTTAAAATCACAATTTTCCTTAAATGAAAATGTTTTTACAATATATACATCTTTCCCAAATTCGCAATTTTCATGATGAAGATCAAATAACCAAAACACTCGTTATATTTTAGGATGAAACCAAATATCCAAGACCCACTCAAAAAACTTGGATAAAACTCAATATAGACATCGAAAACATGGATATAACTTTATATCCAAAACATACATTTCGATGATGGGGAGACCTGTTTACATGGTATGTCAGTAACATAAAAGTAAGTCAAGTCACAATGTTACCGAGTTTCAATCAAGGTTAATGGTCTCTATATACAACTTCTGAGAGTTCCACCGCTAGACCCTTGCTTTGCATTCAACTCCAATTAGTACCATCACAAGCTTTAGGATGACTTTGATTCCTACTCGTCCTTTAGATGAGTTTCACTTCAAAAGTCAATGATCTTTGTATACGACTTCAACGAGTACCACTGCAAGACCCAAACTTCTTATATGACTCAAACGAGTATCACCACAAGCTCCACATATTGACTTGGTGACCACTCTATAGAAATTATAATGAGAACATCAAAACTTCCCTCTTTAACACTATAAAACAAAGAGGTTTCACCGATGGAAAACCCTATTGGTAAACGCCAGAAAAAGCCATCACTGATGGATTTCATCTCTGGAGAAAGTGTAGCTGAAGATCTAGATTACCTATGAATTTTCAATCACCAATTGAAAAATCCGTCGGATGATGGTCAATTCCCGATGATCCACCACAAATTTGTCGGTAATTACCGACAGAATAATCATCAGTGAAGCCTCTTTTTTGTAGTGTAAACAACAACAATCGACCCATTAAGYCTAGAGTCAGACTCTATACAAGTTCGCATCCGCAATACCTGATGACATCAAAACTCTTAGGTCCCAGATTCYGACTCTACATGAGTTTACCTCCATAATATCTCATATGGATCTTATGTSTATGGATCAAATGCATTATATCCGAATTTACATTACTAACACTGAAAAAAAAACTTGTAAATCTCAACAATTATGCAATTCAATATCCCAATATAAATATTGGATAATCAAGGTTGGGCAAAACTCCCRAAACCTTTTGAATCAAACATCTTCCAACAATAAGTTGCCAAACGTTTATAAATCAAATATCAAACACATTTATGCATTTTTATGTATTAAATATCCTTATACAACAAGAAACTCCCATTTAGTGTACAAACYGACAAAAATTTCATTCATGGTTTAAAACCATCAAATATTCACCATTTGAGAAATCAAATTACTGAATAAATATGCATTTTCTCAAAATATTATGTAAATCGTATAACAAAGCATGAAATGGGTCAAATAGACCATCATGTGTTGTAATAACTTATCAAGAGATAAAATCRTAAGATTTATGTATTTCAAAAATGTCCAATAATCCAACAACATGCATTTCCCTAAATCTTTATGAAATCAAAATCACCCAAAAWGCAATAAACTCAAATTAACATCTTAATAGGTAAGAAATCATAAGTAATCACTTGGAGACTCAAATACACACATTTTGACATGTTTRTAGTTTTTACAGAAAAATCTGAAACTCAGCTTGCTTAGATTCTGCTAAATCTAAATTCAAAATCAAACTCTAATTAAGTTCTATTGATGAAGCTTGAAGACTCMAAACCAAATCCTTGATCCAAGCTTCTCTCCTCCACCCAAAAGCTCCCAAAATTGCACCAAGAAGCAACCAAAATTGCCCCAAATCAAGGAGTAAAGAAGAGGTTGAAGAATAATGACCAAATCCTAACTCAAAATAGGAATTTATCCCGATCTGGCTTTCATGCTACTTTAGCCTYGGGCAAGTGCTGAGCCATAACCACAAGGGTGGTGTCTGATTGGTTTGAGCTTGGCTCCAAATGTCAAAAGTACCAGGAGGTCTCAGGTTCAAATCTAAAGAGGAATATAAATCTCTTTTGTGGCCAAGGAGGTTCAAATGCGGTGACTCTGAGTTATTTGCAAAGCAGCTGGTCGCCCTGGGATTAGTCGGCTCGCATAGCGGGTTGGATATTCAGGTTAATCAAAACAAAAAAGTGTTGAGCCATGATTGTATTTTGGAGTGGGGGTCATATACTTGGTTTGAAAAGATAGCAACATAAGGCATGATGGATTGAATATTCGTGGTTTATTCACAAAAAAGAGWGTGAATTCATGATTTACAGGTTGTCGATGCCCATTTAAGAAATATATTATTTGAACTTCATATCGTCRTTCCCTCCTCTCTTTGCCAACAAGGTACATTTCAAGTCTCTGTTTGGCGAACTAGCAATAAGTAAGCTTTTGGTTAAGAAGTTTGTTTGCTGTTGGTTAATAAGCTAGCAACTAGCCGATAAAATAATCATGTTTAGTAACATTAGCTGATAAACTAAATAACAGTATAAAATAACACACATGT